TACGGAGTTCGATTTTTAGGGAGTCATTCAAGTAGAATGATATATTAGTTAGATCAGTTACAGAATGGAAAATAAAAATCTCATATAAGTATGATCATTTGTACTATTTACTTCAGTCCATAAGACATTCTGCTTGGGACTTATTTGTTAGTGCTGTGGCGTAGCTCAGTCAATTCTATATGACTGGTTATTCTGAGATAACCGTATGCTAAATCTTACCAGTTGTTGTACCTCACTCCATTTTCTATGAATCGTGTTGTGAAGACGCAATCCTATACTTCAAGATAAACGTCAACACTTCACAGGTGGTTACGTCATATTTAGTTGTGTATATTAATTTGCATCTGCGTACAGTGACATCTACATCTGGAGGAGCAATCGAACTGAGTCTAAGGTTGCCGGAACATATCTCGAAACTGCTAGATAAACGATTATATTGAATTAAACTGCAACTAAACATCCATAATCTCAAGCCTCTAACAAATTCACGTGTCGAAAATGAGCAAGGTGAATTGCATGATATGCTTTTACTCCACGTAAATGTAACAAATGTTTTGTCAGATTTATTGATGAGATCTTCTTTGAAATTATAACAATTTTGTTGTAATATCGTTCTTAAAACAAAAGCCAATATGCGTCGGACTTTAAGCAGATCATTTTACAATAAAAATCATATTAATAATTTCCTTGTTAAGCAGGATAAGTAATTTACTAATCTTTCTACAGAATCATTGTCCGCATATTAGAAAGAAACTCCTTTCCCTTGGGTTTAAATTTTTTTTCCTGGAAAGCACTCATCAAATTTAGCTACTCATGCACAGCTTGAAAATCTGTTCGATCAGTCGAAACCTCTTGTTACAACTTTTGTTGATGATCCGGGCTAGCTGAAGACCAAAAATGGTGGACGTAAACCATCAGTTCTGTAATGACAATCACAACCAGAAAAGCATTCTAACTTCTCAACATTTCAGAGCTATGGAGAAACTATGAGACGCCCCAAAATTATAATCCTCAGACCTGACAAAGTCTGAGGTGTCATGGTCGTGGATAGAATCGAATATGAGTGTAAAATCTCCCCTATTCATAGAGATGAAAATAAATTCAATACAGGCTTCTCTTCAGAATACGCACAGATGTGGCAACTGGCTGCATCTCCACCTTCTTCACATTGAGATGAAGTCGATCTGACTTTTAGTGAAGTGTGTCTTGTGTCTAGTGAAATCAAATCCATGTCACTATGTGATTATCCTTGTGTTTGTACACACTGCCTGACTCCAACCACCAAATCATTAAATGCGTAGAAGTCTGCAAACAGTTCTCCATTCTCATTCATTATTTCACCGAGTGCTTCTCGACCCATGATTGGTTCTCTTCGTGTGTTGTGTGCTCCCAGTTCGGCATTCATGTCAGCCATTAGAACGAATTTTGATGTCGCCATCTGGGGTGTTGCCTTGTCCATTACTGATTGCAGTTGTCTATAGAATTCCCACTTTTTCTCTTGATCTGCATTATCAGTAGGTGTGTAGCGTAGCATTGTATGATTGTAGTAACCTTCCTTCCTTTTGATTTGAATCTTACCGTAATGATGGTGACCCTGGAGGGGATTGGTTTCCACTGCTTGAGAAAGAGCCTTCGATGTTCTTGGGGACATCATGATAGTCACTCGAAAACTCAGTGTGGTCGTGGATGTCGTCTGAGTGACAATATCGGAGTAGATTAATGACTCTGCAGTTGACAGTTTGGAGTATCCACTTCCATTCCACCTGTTGGTTCCTCTCAGATTCCTAGCACTTTTATGCTATACCTTCTCATCTCTTTCGCAATCTGGACAGCCTTGTCAGCCGGCTTCAAACATTGTGTGGACATTCCATGTCCCGATGTTTACTTCTGCTTTCATTGATAGAGAGAGAGAAGACATGGACCAATTGGCTTCCCGAAGGCTATCACCAACTGGCGTCATCTCATCTGTCTGGTTCCAGTGAGGAATAAGTTTGTTTTTATTTTCTATATCTTCTTTGTGCTCTGAAGTTTCTTTAGCGGTTGGATTGGTTTTACGGGGTAGGGTTGCTAGCCCTACACCCAACTTTCCCTCTATATACAGGTTTAGGACCGGCTAGTAACTAGTGAACTAGTCACCTAGGCAAGGCTACTGGATCCTATAGAGAAGCTATTCTGCAAGTATACCTTAGAAGATACATTTGAAGTAATCAAATGCCTTGATAATGTCAAAATAAAAAGTTAATTTATGTGTTCATTTGACGTCAACTCATTATTCACCAATGTCCTTTTGGTCAAAGCTTTCGACATTTTATGTGATTATATTTCTGTGTATTGTCTTTGAATACCCATTCCTTTTTGATCACTTAAAGAGATACAACTTTTATGTGGTGATTTTATGAGAAATCCTTTGGGCCGCATCTTAGCTGACGTATTTATGTCACACGTGGAAAGCTTAGCAGAGAAAGTAATTGGCCAACCCCATCTCTATCGAAGATATGTCAAGGATATCTTAATCAGTTGTGACAGCTCAAGTTAGTCCACTTCAATTGTAAACCGACTGAATGAAGTACAGAGCAGCATTGCCTTGACATGCGTAGAAGCAGACGACGACTGTTTGCCTTTCTTGGAAAAAATAATTGATCGTCGGCAGGATAGATTCACAAAACGATCTATCTACAGAAAACCTACATGGACAGACAATATTTGAACTATCATAGCTTTTGTTCAGTTCAGCACAGGCGAGCGTTAGTTAGGTGCTTACTCAGTAGAATTCAACGAATATTCACATATGATATGAAATAAGCTATCAGGATTCCTCCGTAGGGGGTTCGGCATCCTACCATGAAGAAGAGGCATGTGGTTGGTGGTTCCCTTTGCTTGTTCTTTCTATGACTTCACAGATTTTCCCAATGGTTATTTCTCTTCCTGATGACATCTCATCTCTCATAGCAATGAGTGTTGACAACTATGGATATGAAGTCAGCTTTGAAAACGTAGAAGTCATCGACAAAGAATATCAGAGTATTCCTAGAAAGCTAGCCTGCATGTTGGTCAACGATAAATAGATGTCTAGGCACAGAAATAGTCTGTCAATCAGTTAAAAGAGTGAAAACAACTACAGGGTCAGAGGGCAGGCAGCGAAACAGCCAATAGGCAAATCTGTGACAACAATGAAAGGAAACCACCAATCACACACCACTTCATCACGGCAGGTTACTGAATCCCTCACGCAAAATTCCTGTGAGCCAAATTCATATTGAAGCTAGTGTAGATGACTTTGTTCAGAAAGATAATAAAAGCTTCTTGATTGAGTCATCCAGTTGTAAGAACGCCAGATAATAAAGGTCACCTATCTAGACTACAAATATTCCGCTTTAGTAAAAATTCCATTTTTATTTAGAATCTGATCTGTTATGTTGTGTATGTGAAGATAATACAGTTATGAAGACAACATGGATTCAAGATACGATGATCATAGACTTCACCTTTATGATTTTGTATAGTAGTCTGGTTTCTAATCATGATACACTTCTCCAAACAAAGTTAGGCTTTGATGATTTGGCAAATGCTATTCATTATCTTAGTATTTGTACTTCTCAATGAATGAAAAGCAGAATGAAGTTTCTGACGTTAGGCCATTGATTGCTAATAGCTTTATCATTCACGACGAAAGACTTAGATGAAGTCATCACATATAAGCCTGGATATTGTTAATTCAGGTTTACTATAACTTTGCTAAAGCTATCAGCACTAAGCAATGGAAAGCTACTTAGAACCAAACATATTTTGTTTTACATCCATTAAGAAACACAAAAATGAAAATAATAAACATAATCTAATTCAAACTTGGTTTGAACATCTATTGGCTGAAATTTAACGAAACATTTATTGAGGTATTAGGTAGTATTGAAAGAAGTAAACGACAGGTATGAATGAAGGAAAGTTTATTGTCAACAAGTGGGACAGTAGTCGTTAAATGTAGTACACCTCGCACTAAAACCATCATTTCCAAAATATGATTCATTTGCTCTTCTGCTTCTTTCTTAAATTTGCTCTTCATACGCCTGCCTTGTTTCTTGCGTTCCTCTTGACGGAATCCTTACCTACTGCTGGTAATTCCCTATAGTTTCAGCCACCCTATCAACATACACTGCTCATATCCATTCCTATCAGCAACACCCACTGCAGTATGTCGATGTTATTCGCCACAGAAACAGATGAATCAAGCCCTAAATAATAAGCTTCTAGAGATGACCTACGTTTTAGTGATTACGGTTATAAATTACACTTAGTGAAGCAAAAATCTATCCTGTACATAGTAGCAAATGGTCAAAAAGAACAACTGGAGCCACTTGTGAAAAAAATTGAATAATGTATGCTTACCCCCAACGCCATGTTAAGGATATATTATAACTTATTCAGTGGAACTCGTTACAAAAATCGGAGTGATAGAAATTGAAACACTAACAATAGTGAAATTGATGCTTCCTGTCATTTGCTTAACCATGAAAGATGATGTTTCTGAATACAACAAGACACGTTCGGTACAGAGCTCCTTTTACGCTCACTTCTGGTTGATACTGAACATAGAGTTATTAGTAATAATCCCTTTAAAGTTAATTGGTTACTTTCCTCCTAATAGAAGGTGGAATGTCAAAAACTCCGGTACTGTAATTTTCGAAGTTTGATAGCAAGGGGATTTACAAAAAAATGTAGAGTTTGTGACACTTTCATTTAGCCTAAATTATTTTCAGTTATCAGTTATGAAGTCCCATTCCCACTCTATGAGTCAGTGTTTTCTGTTTACTTCATCTTCAAGGATCAGTCGGTGAGAAGGAATTTAGTATAATAAGTTTATGATAAATCATTTGCAATATGTTCACTGACTACTTGAGCATGTCAGTGGCTAACAAACTTTCTCTGCAGTATTTATTTCGTCAGTAAAATTATTTTCCCGTGTTGTTTCTTACTTTATTCTTCTCCATACTTTAATGTTGAAGATTGCCAACATACAAATGGATGGTAATATCCAAGGATATCCTGGTCAAGAAGAGCTCGGGTCACCAGCACGTGTTTTATCCAATAACACCCTGTCGAATTACCATCAAACAACGATCATGTCACCTCTAATTTCTGAGATACAACATCAACAACATAGTCATTCTTTACTGAATTCAATGGATCATGTTCCAATGAGTATGAGTAACAATAATACACTCAGTCCAAGTCGTTTGCGTCTACTTTCTACTGCTTCAATGGGGATTAATCCTGTTGATGCGTATAATAAACTAGATTCAAGTATACCACATGTTCTCAGTAATTCAGGTAAGTAATAACTTTTAATAGTTTTTATATCTGGTAATTTGAATGCAGTTTTCAAACCGAGTATTTAATAAATATTAACACTAAACTACAAATAGGCTATAAGTAGATAACAACGAACTCTATCTGTTGCACGCATCATCTAATATTAGCTTCCGTATTATGAGGAACTGAAAATCTGGAGGTTTTAATGCTTATGTATGCTGATAACATCGCTCCATTTCGTTCTTGAAGACGAAAAAATTTATTTTGTGGTATCTCGTATTCAAAAGGTTAGAGAAGCCCCGCATGGCCTAGATCTTGCATTTGTTGGAATTAAACCAGCCATGATGATCTACTCAAAAATATGTTCGCTAGTCATTTTGTAGCACACAATTAGCTGTAAAAGTTAAAATTTAATCTTATATATATAGGATCGATTTAGTTATCTAGCTTGCTGATAAAACTTCCATGAGCAGATATATAGGGTTTATGCTCAATGACAGTACATCACTGTACAACGAAAACAGACCATTATATCTGACATTATTTGCAGTGTATATGATAGACAAACTGAATGAAATACTTTGAATTAAGAACACGACAGTAGTGAATACATCAACTTAGAATCTATTACATTCCTAATGTCAATCTTATTTCGAACGCCTATTTCCGTTTATTTTTGGTTTATTAATCACAGTATTTGTTACATTATCCAACGGTATTCCATTCTTGAATTTGAAAAAATGTTTTTTAAAAATATATGAGAACGAATGTAGTGATACAGTGACCGCCATTCATAACTTTTGAATTCGTGTTATTACTAAAAAGTTGTTTTTCACACAAAAACATGTCAGACCTAAATGATTTGATTGCAGTGTAATCCTGATCACCAGTAATGTTTACGTGGAAAATTATGATGAAAATACCACAATAAAAAAGTAACATTTGATTAACTATACCATGTTAACGTAGTTTAGCAAACTAAACTAATGAGTTTATCGGGTATAAGTAGTAGTGGGTTGAATACTAAGCCATTCCTTAGAGGAGTATGTATCTGCAACCTGTTTTCATTGTCACTTTCATTATCCAAAAGGACTGGTGAATTCAGGTACACATTAGATTGTGGTAATCAGTCACTAATTTTTCAAGACAAGTTATATATTCTTAGGATTATTGCCACTTGGTCTCTCTGATTGATGCCTTCCAATAATTAAGTATTGGAAGGCATTCGGTTAGAGGATGTGAGAACAGGGTATATACAACCAGCCTAATACTACTGAGTCGAACAATTTTATTCTGGTACGAAACTTAAGTGGTTTGGAGGCACTGGACATAGTACTCACTGAAGGCAGTGGAGGACAATCATTACAGGATAGATCATTTTATAAAGCCATGATGGTCTAGTTTTGTTCTAGTCACTTAACAGTAAGATAACCGTTGGCAGAGGAAAAGATTATGATATCAATGCTGGCGGAAGAAGATGGTGTTATGTCGTATTGGGTAATCAGTAGGAAGCTCTGGACCCGGATGTCATTTTCATTGTCGGGCATAAACGACCTTGAAGAAACTGATACTTTCTTAAAGATACAAAGAGACCTGATTCAGTGTTGCAGTGGAACATGACAACAGTCGACGTACCTAACCTCATAATCATGATATGAACTTCATTAGTGAAATTCCTTTAGTACATGGCATCACTTACTGTCCAATGAGAGGACACTAGAAAGTCATAAACAAAAGAACAAAGAATTTTTGTCGTTTCTTAATGGTCTGGAAATGACGTCTATTTATAATGATTGATACACCTCTAGAATGGTATGGAATGTGATTGACATCGTTTAACTAGTAAAGATTTCAAACCGTTTATTTTTTTACAGATGTGAATCACATCCTAACACAATCATCATATCGTCCACCTTCACCTGATTACCAATGTTTAGATGCCATCTGGTGTCATCAGAATAAATTTCCATCGGGTACAATGAACGTTTTACAACGTTTCCATAATCCGCTTACATCTAGTAATTCACAAGTTAACAATTCAAGTCATCATCCACATCGTGTACAAAGAAATCAACAAAAATTATCTACTCAATATTCAGTAGGAAGTGGTGATAGTGGTATAAAACAACCGTTGAACAATTCGCACCATATTATGTCAAATGAATTCCCAGAATCAACAATTATAACTACGCAGGCACCAAGCGTCAACACATTTCTTCCGCATACATACTACGAAATAGCTACACCATCAGAGACATGGCATACAAGATGTTTACCAATATTTATACCTAGTGGCAATCACACAATACTTAGTAATCATGAAACTGAAACTCATGTAAATTTGCATACACAACATTTACCACAAACGAATAATCAGTATGCCTTACATCAAGCGAACAACAGCCAACAACGTTTAACCGAATTCAATAGTCGTTCATATAACCATATAGCTACATTAGGTAGACCAACTACAGGGAAAGGACGTAGACGATTAACAACTACAAATGGTAAAGACGATAGTATGCATAACTTACAAGCTGGTGAATTAGCCATACATTCTGGTAAACGTTCAATACGCAATCCATTAGGACAAAATGAACAGTATACCGTTAAATCAGAGGATCAAATCTTAAAATCAAAAACTATCAATGTTATCAATGATAATATTGACAATACTACTAAAGTTCTCAATAGTAATATGTATCATAATGATGATGATACTGGTGATATTAATAACAATGACAATAATAATGAGGATAACAATAATCTGAGTGATAGAGGAAAGGAAAAAAGGCAGAATAGTCAGTTAACAGAACAGAAACCGAATGTACACTATACATACCAAGCATTTCGTGAGGGTACATTCGTGTAAGACTGTTCATATAAATTGCATTTATAAGGAATAAGAAACGGTGTTTCCTCTCACTCATACTCATGCACCTATATAACTGCCTAGTTTCTGTATGAAAATACTCTTCTGAGTATGCTTGTTGAGGTAGCTGCCAACTAACAGATGTATAATACAGAAGTATAAAGAATGAATATAAAATAATAATGAAAATTATTTCATCTAGAACACCATTATATTCTATACACAAACGCTTTTTAAATTAATTGCATTTAACTTCAAGTTTTCTTATTCTTGTCAGTTTTTAATCTTTCAATTTTTTCTTTCTCATGACTTGATTTCATTTACTTCAGTTTCTGTTGATGAGAAAACTGCGGTTGTTCTTTTTGTTGCTGAAATAGTAACTACTTATCTTTGTCGACATGTTTTCATTCGCTTGGCTGTTTTGTTTTTTTAATCATTGATAACCAAATTATAAAAGAAATCTAAACAAAACTCAATTTATTATGATGACTTATTTGTTTGTGGCTAGCAGAGGAATCTAAAACTCTCATTTCGTCCTAGTTAGGACTGGTCAACTGGATGTATCTGCACTACAGTAAGTTATAGTATTCTTATCTGGACTCGAACCAGGCACCTATCGTTCCAGACGCCAATGGAAACTCATAAATACCAACAAATAAAAAAATTCAATTTGCTTTACATATTTTTGTCACGCATTTCAATAGACTATTTTCGACTGCGTTGATGAAAAATCAATTTCCTGAGAGATCATTTGTTCAAACATTCACTAGTAAGTTATGTTTTCCTCAGATAAAGAGAATAATCTGATTCGAGAGTTACCTTTTCAAATCTTTGAAGAAGCTAAGAAGGATTCAGAAATAGTCATACGTAGTTGGCAAGTCAATCATGGTTGAGAGGTTCGCTTAAAGTATTATGAAGGTTCTTTTTTAACTAGTTAGGCTACAGTGAAAGTCTTCTGGTAATAGCTTATAGTTGTCTGGAAGATTTTAAAACCCCAAGACCGCATGTAAACACATAAAAAATGTTTTGGTAAATAAAATGACCTCTAAGTAAGGCTTTTGACTGTATTATCACCTTCCTGAAGTTTATATGGTTGGGAATGAAAACATGTGGGGAATTCACTTGGCGTTTTCAGCATCAGAAGTGTATCTAGATGACAGTTAATTATTGAAAGGATGATTCTGAATGCACTCGAAATCATGTTCACCTTATGGAACAAAACACATTAAAGTTTACAAATATGATGTAATAGTCAACAGTTGTTAATCAGGTGAGTAATGAGAAAATTGTTAGTTTGATAAATAACGAAAACATCGAGAGTAACACTTAATGAAAGTATTTAGGTACGGAAGCACTGTATTTTACCGTTTAACTGAGTTACTTGAATATTTAATTTGTTGTTAAAACTACTGTTTAACTCTATACTAAATTCCTAATGAATAACTCATAAGGAAGAAAGCACTGAACACTAATGTATTGTGCATGTACTGACTAACCTATTATTATGTAGCTAGATGTCAGGAAAATCAATATCTTACTGAGGTTATCTTTAAACTTGTATAGAGTGGATATTAAGATTACTGATTGATACGTTATTCTTCCTGTCCGATCTGCCTGGTAACACTATACTACGGGTAATGCAAACAGATAGAAAATCTTCTTACCATTCAATACCTTACATGTTCTGTAGTTGAGGGGCACATTTGAACTTCATAAGGTACTGATCTACATATTTTTATCAACTGTGACTAGGTTAAAGGTAAACTCGCAGATATTAAACTAACATTCCGAATATTTTATTGCTTTGACAATGGTAACATTATTGAGCATAAATTCACATCATATTAAATAAATGATAACTGATGAGCAAACTCATTTCAAAAAATGAATAGTGAAAGCATTCAGGCTGTTTTAACTCCACTGATCAGATCACAGTAATCTAAAGAACAGACTATCGTTTGGTTAAGCTGAACTGGTGGATCAAAAATATCATTCATTCAAATCCATTTTCGGTTACTGTACATGTGGGCTTTTTCAATTTCTAAACAATAACTTCCCATCTTATGACGCGGTACAGCACAAAGGAAAAGTGATTGGCTGCGATGAGAATTATCCATGCGTTTAGGCTAATATGTTTTCGATTTGCTGCTAAAATTCAGGATTATTCCCACACAAGTTATCCATGCTTTACAGTACTACGAAACTGTAACCAGTCATTGAGATAATTATATGAGATTTCAGTTTTTTGTGTCAAAAAGCTACGATGAATAATAGAAATGCATACTATTATCTATTTCTGCTATACAGAAATGTTACCTTAACTGACTCTTTTCGTATTCAGTTATACTTATCTTGTGTAAGTAAGGATGAGTAAATGGGTAAGTATAAACAATATTTCGTAAGAGGTTTTTGAATTGTTCTTTAAGTATAAATGAACTTACAATGAACCTTAAAACATATCCCACTTTATAATTACTGCAAATACTTGTTTGAAAGTAGTGAGAGTCACGTGCAATTTGCCTAGAGAAATTTCTTAACCTTAACTGACCGTTCTTTATGAGAATACAACATCAAATTTTGGAGAAACGGAACTTCTGATACACGATGATCAACAATGTTTAAAATATTCTATAGGGAAGATACTCATACTTGCAGGCGACAGGGCTTCTCAGATGCTTACAGCTTATCAAACAAAGTCATTTTAACCAAACCTTGGTTTTCCATAGTTGTGTTATAAAGATAATGAATGCGGGTGCTAACCTCTATCCCAACTAAAATTGACTTTCTTTTGACTCATGCCAATCAAAAAAAATGGTGCTTTTTATCTGAAATAGCTGCTGGGCTCCGCACTCACCGGGTTCCTATAGTTATTCTTCGAAAATTGTATTCTAGGCAAAAGTAGATAAATTAACTTTTTACTAAATAATTTTCATTCAAAGAACTGGTAGAAACTCTATTTATGTTAGTTTTAGCCCGAGACCATATCGGTAAAAGAAAGGAAAATATGAAATTCATAGAAGTATGATGGGTCGTACAGTTTCATAAGGACTCCTGCCAAAGATTTATTTTGCAGTAATATTTTATAGCTAAGCTCCAGGTCTCCAACTCATTGTTGTATACTCATTTTTCCGAAATAATCAGCTCTTACTTATCATTTCCTTTTACATGCATGAAATCATTTATTTCATCCATGATCCAGTGTGACGATGTAAATCAGTTTTATATGATAATACAGGATTCATATAGCGAAGAAAAGCGGTGACTGAGTGGTGATGTGTTCATCGCCAGACCTGAGGGTTCCAGGTTAGATCTCTGGCCGGGTTGTTGATATACAGTGCTGATGAGTCACACGTTAGGATGAAAGCAAGCAACCAACACAAAACATCAAGCTCGATCGTAATGTGCCTCTTATTTTACCTAGACTGTGAGGTGAGGACACTGTTTTAACAACTGCGTGGATTAACTGTGATACGAGATGTAGCAGACATATAATAATAATTATATTATTATTAATAATCATAATAAACACTTTATTCCAGACATTATTATTGAGACAGTATGGAACTTTAAGTATGCTATATAGCAACAGTTTTACTCCTCGTAAAGTACTTTCAAACGAAATGGCAATAGCATTCAAATAATTTTATTTTATGTATTGTATGATGCGACAACCAGCTGATGTTAGGTTACCGTCTAGTATGTGATGCGTTGTTATATTGGGAGACGGGGGATGAGTGAAAAAGCATACGTAAGTTTGGTGATAAACGTTCATTCCACCGTCGCAGAAACCTGCGTTTTTAGCTGATTATTCCAGAAATGACACAGTATTGCTGTGTGATCAGAGGCTCATTACCGTAATGATTTTCTTATAATTTTGTTTTTAACTTGCGAAACGATAAGTTTAAAAAAGCTCTTAATGTGCGCAAGTACGCGTTTATGACATTTGTTATCAGACTTCCAGATCATTTGTTTTGTTTGATCTAATATAATTTGTTTTTATACAAGTATACTGAACACCTTGTTTTGATTCACTGTGTCACCGTATTTCGTGTTGAGCTATAGTACCGTGAGATTGAAGATTCCTGACTAATTTGAGTACATCCGTTTCAGTATCGAAAAGCCTTTTTAGAGAGTTTTACCAGACCCCGAATATCAAAATCTAAGTGTTGTGAACTGCAATAGTTTAAATTTACGAAGGAAGACTCAAAAAAATTCATATCTTTGTTATGCTTTACTCGAAAGTTTAGGTCGTCGAATCCACCATAAGCAGTTTGTTTTTGATTTAGAAAACTAACAGCTATTTATGAGCCAGATTTGATTCCATATATCCAATTTTCATGATGGATTATTAAACACTGCTCAAGTGTTATATGCTACATGTATTGTGGAAAAATTGACTGGAAACCTAGTGAACTAATTGAGGACATTGCGAAATTTGTACTCAGATCCTCTATGGCTTCATCAGCTAACATCGTTTTATCGTCTACGGCTCCGATGATTATTCACGCGATTCAGACGTAGTCATCATCTTAATAATTTCCAAATTTTGTTTCTTTCAGAAACTACGTTCTTCTATGCACACAAGGGATTTAGATGATGTCAGTGGAATAACCAGAAAGTGAAACATCTTACCCCGTTCCATCCATAAAATACCCTAAATCCACTAATTGTTTCTGTCTACTGAGTAAGTAAAACTACACCAGTGAGACAGTAGAAAACCACCCCAAAAGGTGCACAAGGACTGGTTTCCAAGGGTTACGTATATGAAATCCTTTCCAAGAAATTCGGAACCAAAGCGAACAAGCGACTTCCCAGTAAAAAACCAAACGCAAGAGTTCCACGAAAAACCTTAACACAGGATTTATCTGAAATACGATTCTATATTATTAAATAATATTGAACGATAAGATACAAACCTCAAGCCATGAGGTAGCTGTAATTCTATTGCTATCGAAGGACTTCGCAGAGAGTGCGTTAACCATAAAAACTGCAATGCTGCGTCCAAGCAACCAGAAGGAAATATGAAAGGCGCGCGTAAATTCTCATGTTGAAGTAAAGATACAAAATAAACAAATATTTAAGATAAAACACAACAGTAGGAGGAAAAGTAATAAATTGGAACTTCATGAACTGAGGAAGATGTTTACATCCAGGGATTTTAAATGGAGAACGAGATACGACTGAGCAGACCGAACAAAGCTGTGAACAAAGAAACATTATAAGGCAGCATTAAATATACTACTCAATAATATAAAGTAGGATAAAACTGAAAGTATAAAAAGGAATACAAAGGCAACATCTCATAGTGTAAACGAGAACAAGTAAGAAAGGAATTAATAATATGTAATAACGGACCTACCCCGAACCCAAAGCTTCAGTGCGTTGGGAAATATAAGAAGGGAATCCCGTTGATGCAGTTTTACTGAATACAAATATATAGTATGAGTTAACTTTTAGTTTTTCAACACTTGACTAGACTATGTTCTATAAATCATGTGAACATTGAAAACATTCTCTCGTGAAAGAAAAAATCCTGATGTACTATCCTTTCCCAATCAGTTCGTTTACATTAATTCTGGCTTCCTGAAAGTAATGTTATACAGTTTGCCGGAATGCAAGATTCCAGCCTTTAGTGTCTGTCTATCTTCGAAGTATCCACTGTCTTCCGGAAGTACAAAGTAAGATGCATGTTCAACGTCTCAGTGAATGCTTAAACAGATAAGCCAACAAATTTTTTGCTTGAAACACTCGCATAACGATGTTTGACAAAAACGCCATATAATATTTCAAAGCTATACTTCCTAGGTCAGT